CGACAGAAATAAATAGAAAAATAATAGTATATAAAAACGAAGAGAAGAGAAATAAATAGATAAAAGGAAATAATGAAATAATAATAATAAATACAACACATAAAAAGAAGAGAAAAAAAAAAAAAAAAAAAAAAAAAAAAAAAAAAAAAAAAAAAAAATAAAAAAAAAAAAAAAAAAAAAAAAAAAAACAGAAACAGAACGAGCAGGAAACAGAGAAGGAAATAAAGATAACAGTGAGGTGGAAGGGGCGGAGAGAGAAGGAGAGGGAGACGGGAGAAAAAAAGGCATCGAGTAAGCGAGGAGATTCACACCAAACCAGAGAGAATCCACAAGTAACGAACAATTAATGATGATTATCCGTATACTTAGATAAGTACAAAAAAAAAAAAGAAAAAAATAAATGAAAAAAAATAAAAAAAAAAAAAAAAAAAAAAACAAAAGATAACAAAAAAAAAAAAAAATATATATATATACTATATAATATATAAATATATATATATATATTTATATATTAAATATAAAACTTAAGACCGATAGACCAATTACATAACAATAAGAACCTATATATCATCCTAATAAATAAACTTCATAAAAAATGGAATAAATAAAAAAAAAAAAAAAAACAAAGAAAACAAGGATAAGAATAGGTTAAAATGGCACGACCAAAAACAATATAAATAAACAAAACAAAGTTGGAAAAAAACAAAGTAACAACGAGAAATAAACAGACTTGGATAGAAATAATAACAAACAACAGATAGAAATTATTCGCTTAAAAGATTCAACAAGAAACCATAAACTGTCGGTTAAAGAGGATAGCGTAAAACTGGAGTATTATAGTCGTCATTTTGCAGGACCGAACGGAACCCCGAAGACTATACCGCGAGAATGAAAAGCAGGAGTGTGAAAACAGATATTGAAAAAAAGGTGGTAAAAAGGAAATTAATACGCTTGAGGAGAAATGTGCTGACAGCAAATAAATAAAATAATAAATAGGTAAACACCCAACCAATATTAGAAGAAATAATAATAATAAAACAGGTGACGATCGTGGAGGAGATCAGGACCTCCAGATGTAACAAAAAGTAAAAAAAAAAAAAAAAAAAAATAAATAAAAGGTAAACTAATACAAAAAATAATAAACGGTAAACCAAAACAATAATAAAAAACAAATAATAATAAAAAACAGGTGACGATCGTGGAGGAGATCCAGGACCTCCACATGTACAACCGCTACTACCCGACCCTCGCCTTCACGGAGGAGAGGAGGGGCTTCGGACGTTCGGAGGCAACGTCTCCCGGCGGACAAGAACGTTAGCTTCTTCCCGTCCTGCACGACACCGGGTGTAGCGGGGTCGTTTTGTGTATGTTTGTTGGTGCTTGTTTCGGCTTGTTTTGTTTATGTTTCTTTGTCCCGCTCTTAGTTTGTCTTTGTTTGTTTCTTTTGTTTGTCTCTCTCTCTGTTTGGTTCTTTATTTGTCTCTTTCTCTCTGTTTTGTTTGTTTCTTGTCTATGTCTCTCTCTTTGTTTGTTTATTTGTTTCCTTTTGTTCTCTCTATGTCTGTCTTTCTCTCTCATCGGTCTCTAGTCTGTCTCTCTCTTTCTTTCTCTTTTAGGTTAGAAGTCTTCTTGTTTGTTCTCTCTCTCTCTCTCTCTCTCTCTCTGCTCTTCTCTCTCTCTCTCTCTCTCTCTCTCTGCTCTCTCCTCTCTCTCTCTCTCTCTCTCTCTCGTTCTCATTCTCTCTCTCTCTCTCTCTCTTCTCTCTCTCTTTCAAAAGTTCAAACGCAGTAAAACAAAACTGATATTTATTATCTTAATAGAAAATGCATCCCAACCATCGAACGGATGGAAGTGTGGTCCTTCCTTATACAATGTAATCCTCTCTAAAAATTGATCAATGTTACGATAATCTCTAATTTCCTCTTTGTATCCAATCTCTGTCCCTACAATTACTAATTTAAAAGATTAATACTCCAGACCAGCCGTTGGGAAAACATGCCCATTAACAATGTGTCTGAGTGGATGCTGTAATAAGATTAATGGTCGTCGAGTAATTTCGCAGTTGACAATGTTGCTGTGCTCTTGAGGATAACTCAACTCCTAATATAAATACAGTAACATTGATTAGTTTGGTGGTATGTTACAGGGATGAATTACCCTGAAAGGAGATTATAGAAAAAGGAGAAATTGAAATTAAAAGTGTTACAGATATCAGGCATTCATGCATATAAAGCAAACTGCTACAGGAAATTTTGTAACACACACACACACACACACACACACACACATTCGGCACAACACACACACACCACACACACACACCACACACAGAGATAAAACACACCACATATCATACACACATAAACACAAAACGCACATGCTATATATTAACCCTTCATCATATTTTGCAAATTGCAGGGTCGATATTACAGTTACGTATCCGAAACGTGAACAACCAATCCAACGATCTTTAACATAACGAGGTCCCTGATCCATTCGA